TCCATTACATCTTGATTATGTATTGCAAAATTCTGTGAACAAAATCAAGGAAAATTGATTCACTCACAGACAAGCTAAAACCAGAAGATATCAGGCAAAAACCATCACAAGTGCAAATTATGTTAACGACCTTGCAGTGTTTGCAGATGACACTGCACTATTTGTGAGGTGATCTTCTGCTTTTTGTAGGTGACCTTACACTCTTTGCAAATGACCTTGCACTATTTGCAGATAGAATTGCACAGAGAGAATCACTGTCACACAGTCTTTACAAAGCAGCAAGAGGAATCAGATTTTATATAAATCTAGACAAAATAAAGCTCGTGTTTTAATCAACAAGGCTCTATTAACTACCTGTCCAGCACTAAAAATGGTTGATCAGTTCCTCTCCCTTGGACGTAACTCCTATTTTACTAAAAGTGAGCTGAACATTCTAATTAGCAAAGCTTGAGCTGCAATTAACAAACTGTCGAAATCTGTTCTACTAGATAAAATGAAACAAGATGTCTTCCAAGCTGCACCTACATCCATCTTGCTCTATGATAGAACCACGTGGTTATTGACAAAATGATTGGAAAGGAACCTAGATGGTGCATATACAAGCATATTACATGTTGCACTGCATCTCTCTTGAAAACAGCACCCTACCAAAAAAAGCAGCTCTGTGTCCATCTACCACCCCACTCTCTCAATATCTTACAAATCATTTAGGAGAAAGCTATTTATGGTGAAGTAAGGAAGAGTTTATTTGCTTTGTATTCATTGTTATCACAACGTTTTGACCATTGTGCCATCTGGCTTTCATCTTCGTCAAACCAGATTACCTACATGGGAATTTTAAACTGAATCTTATATTTAACCTATGGGCATAGATTGTTCTTGTTCCACTGTGCATGTCTAGGGATATAAGTTGCCCATTCAAAACATAGATTCAGCAAATACTGGAAGACATAGAATGCTAACCTGAAGATTTACCACACGATTGATAATTGTTGATTGAAAGAGAGTTGTGAGGATCTGTGCAATTGATACATCTTGATAATAATGACCTAACATTAAACAAAAGTGTAATGGAATCAAACGAGAAACAATGTAGCTTCATGGTGAAATTTAATTTTATCAGGCTTACTGGTCCCTAATCTTATGAAAGCATCACCCGTGTTAGATAGGCTTCTAAAGATATGGAACACAAGTTCAAATCTCATTGGAATCAACTCCTTTATTTCTGATCTATGGTGTTTGTTTAAGGTATAGAATGTAAAATAACTGAAACGTTTAGTATTTTATTCATTATTTATTTATTTTATTTTATTTTATTTATTTTGTTAAACCCCCATCTTTGTTTTTTTTGGGGTTTTTTTAGCCCTGATATTACAGTGAACAGTAACAGGAATTTTATCTCCTTTGCAGCAAGAGACAATGAAATAATTTACATCAATACACTGATTTCCCATCATTGAAATTCTCAAAATAGGTAACTGTCTCCAAAAGAATTTAATGTTGCTTCCCTGCTTCTTAGTTTCTATTTTAACCAACAGGTGGCGCTGTAAACATTTATATATTCTCTTAATAATAATTCTCAAGCTATCATTTCATTTTCATCTTTGGGATAATAACTTTAGTACCAAGAATTGAATCCCATTGATTGTATCCTCTTCTTTTTAATAGGCATAAGTGAAGTTTGTTTGTTTTTTTTTTTATTTTAGTTTATACTAGGCCACCCATAAACTGATCAGGTTTCTTTTAAAAGCAGGTCATGATACAAAACTGTTGAAGTAACACTTATCAATCTTATTAATTAGATATTTTAATATGTATTTAAGGATGGTAAAAGAAGGTTTATTGTTCCACTAGGTTTCAAATTTAATACATTGCTTGAAGATTTCTAGTAATAGCTTAAGCAGATGTAGTCTTTTTCAAAATAATAAGTATATTTTTTAGTATGCATACTTGTTTCTTCCTCACATTTATTTCAAAATATATAACAGCAAATCAGCATGCATCTATTTATTTACCATCAAGTCATGTGACACATATAACCTCTTCACCTTTCAAGTATAGCTGGCCACTTGTATTTGAGGATACCTGTTAGGGCAGCTAGCCAATCCTTATTGCAGATGCTTTCTTAGGCGCATTTCTGTTTATTCAACACCCACGGAGCCCACCTGTAATTTATACAGCAAATATGCTGAGCAGACATTAGTTACTAGGAAAGAGCATGTTATCTAGCATGATCAACAATTTGAACAAGGCCAACATGCTCAAGCCTTCGGACACAATGACTTGTGACTTTTTGATAGCACAGCTATCGACAGCTCCCAAGGGTTCTGTTTACCCAATTTCACTCACAAGTCTTGGGTCAACTGTGGTATGGTTTTCAGGCACTTTCCAAAGGTGCTGCATGCTGGGATTGACCCCTCCTGTCTAATAAATTGACCATGGTGATATTCAAACCCGGGTTTCATGGTCAGAATGCAAACATGCTAACCACTTGGACATGTGCCCATTAAAAAAAACTATTAGTGTAGTGAATTGTATAAATATATGTTTTGTTATGCATACTGAAATTTATTTAATAATGTTAAATTATGTATTCACACACATAATAGTTGGAATATAATATGCAGATATTTGTTTATATACATGGATTCATGTAAAAATGTGTATCAAAAACAAATACTGAATTAAAAATGTATCTTAGGAACATGCATGCATACAAGATTAGAATTTTAGCATTATATAGATTTAGCATTGATGTAACAATAGACATCTTGTTCTTTGTACTCTTTACAAACTTTTGTCTAATCAACCAAGGAGTACTAAAAAAGGCTTTTGGGCCCCTCAAAAATGATATTGGGTTAGTCTAAAATCTTTTCAGCACCTCCACCTATTCATTACAGTATATACAATCACTTAATTTAAACTATTGGTATATATGTTCCTTATTGCCTTAAATAGGTCCATTAAATTAAATGATAAATATTTATTTAAAAAAGAAAAACATTTTCATCCTGTTTAAGTACTTGAAAATGAGGTAGAGACTTTGATATTTGGTCAAAATAATGACTGAAAAATAATACATTAATTATATAGTATTTATTAATGTAAATAAAACATTAATTACAATCCTCATTAAAAATGAGTCTAGCAATTTAAATTTTAATTACTCTAATTATTAGTAAATTAAAACTATTTAAATTACATGTTTGTATTGGAGTTGGCATGCTAAGAAAATGATAACACAAGATTTGAATTTTCTCTGGGGTGGTTGTTTATATAATTAGATTATATAATTGTATCTTATCACAAATCTTGCCCATGCCTGCAAGCCAGATGAAGGTGTGATATGTGCTTTCCCATTAGGTAGCCAGAAGTCACCCTACATCAACTCCCTAGTGCAACCAGCTTCTTTGATGGTCTGGTTTGACATTGCATTCAATGTCTTTTCCGGTATCAGAATACACATTGCTTCTTTAATATAAGCCAGCTTTGGTACACTTCTAAAGTTTTCAAATATATATTTCATATGTGAGTCCCAGTATAAATAGTTATAAATAATTATTGACCGATTTTATCATTGTGATATTTTTGCATTATATCAAGTATTAAGAATATATTAACTAGTGTCCGCAAATTAGAGGGGAGAGTTATCGATGATAATGTTTTGACTTCGAATCCATGGTTATTTCCCTTTAACTCTATCTCTGTTTTTTTTTATTTTTAAATGTACTTTTTATCACAAAATTTGGTGAGGTGTGAGCAAATTTTCATTCCAAAAATGTGGCCTACAGAAAAAAATAGTTGTTCCCAAACATTTTTTTCTGCCTTACATAAAGATGGACGAATTAGCCATCTTATTTAGTGGAATCTTCTGAAGACATAGTGGAAATATAATTTTTTTTTAATTTTAAAATTAATGAAGAAGATGCCATAATTTATGTTTTGATCCCAAAGTTTATTTATAGCTTGTAGATAAATGAACAGTTATTTTGTAATTGTTGAACTTGAAAAAATCTCAAAAACTTATTAAAATTGCCATCATTTTTGATGTCACAGCTAAATTGACTTTATAATATTTTCAATTTTACTGTCAATTGATCGACATACAATCTCTGCTCATGATGCAGTAACTATTGTTATCATCATTGATTGTTATAGATATTTTTATCGACGTTCCGACCAAGTACCCTTTAGCCATCTTCAGGTGTCTACTATGATGTGGGCTATAGGATATGTTAGGTGTTGATTATTGTTATTTTTGTTCCTGTGAAGTTGGTCCTTGTTCATTACTGCTAAACCGGAATAGAATGTTTCACTATTCAAGAATTGTACACTACTGCTCGGTCAATGAATGCTGAATGTTTCCTTTTCACTAACCAGTGATTATAACTGCTAGACTACCATCTTAAAGGGCATCAGTGGTATATTTTTAGAACCATTAAGTCCATGTCAGATGGCTTCAACATTTGATTATCATAACAGATTCGTGCTGCTTTAGATAATTTTTTGTTTTATTTTTTAGATGAGGAATTGTCAATATATTTTTGGTTTGTTTAAACTAGCATTCTCATCTTTTATATCATTATAGACATGTAAAAAAACTAACTTGTTTATTCTGTAAACATGTTACCTTTTAAGTTTACAACATTTAACTTGCCATAATGGATGGATCTCTTGCACTCCGATTCAAGTGTTTATTATTTATTATTCAAACTCTTATTTTTGCCTTCAAACAAACATGCAGATTTGAATTAGACACAATGCATCTAACTTGTCACAGAAAGCAAATTGGGCTTTCTGTTACATTTGTAATTTGTTTACATCAGAAATATTTGAAGAATGCAATTGTCATATGTTACAGGTGAAGAAGCTCACTTTCAGGTAAACAGAAATTCAATAAGTAGAAAGTAAAGATATGAAAAACTTTTTTGCTTTCTATAGAGGTCTGGTTACAATGATACTATTTGATATCTTACTTTGTACAGAACCTGACCACATTACATTGAACCACCGGTTCCCATATGATCACTGAAGTTAAGCAGTGTCAAGCCTGGTCAGTATCTACATGGGTAACCATTTGGGAATATCAGGCGCTGTAAGCTTGGGTGTGTTGTAATGGATAATAGCTCAGAATTGTTAATTGGAGAGCCGAGTTTCAATTCTGTTGTGTTTATTATATTCACTTACATGCAAATACCCTTGGGGAAGGTATGAATACACCTCTCCTACCCCCAGTTAGGGTTTAATTAGTAAGACTTGTATCACTAACACATTATTATCTTCCTTCCAAATTCTTACAATCTAAAAATATTTTCTGGCATTAATAAGCTATAGAAAACAAACCAATCAATCAAAGCAGCTCCCCAGCTATGGGTTAAATAAAAGGGAAGAGTGGATTCTTGTTTAGGAGCTAGTCTAGGAGAAAATTTCTGAATTTAAAACTATAGAGGAGGCAATAGGAAATCACTCTATTATCTTTCTCAAGAATTTATGGCAATTCACAGATAAATAAAAGGAATTTGTGGAGTGCCATGATTGCCTAAATCCTAAAGGAACATGGTATCTGTTTAAAATAAAAAAAAAAATCATGACTATTAAGAAATTGTTTGGACGTTTCATCAGCTGAATGCACTGCATAGTAGGGCAGGATGATTTTTCACTTTTCTTAAAAAATCAACATTGCAATCGGTGTGAAAGTTGGGGTTTGATGTGATAAGTACTGACACCAAAAATTAGATTCATAGCTTTTAATAATTTTTGAGTATTTAGTTTTAAAGATTGTCTGAAGAAAATGTACCTAATTTCCATAGATTTTTGCTTACAAACTGACTTCAAAATTTTATTATTCCAAGAATAAATCCAAATAAAGTTGACATCTTTTGTATTAGATACATTGAATGGAAAATATATTCAAACCAGAATTCTAATTAAGAATCACCACAAGTAAAATATGCCATTTAGAACCCAGTCTATCCTACTATTTCCCCATAGCTGGGGGAAGAAGAAGAGGATTCATACCTTTGCCAAGGGTATTAGCACGTCAGTCAGTCAGTTATGTGCCATGTGTGATACACGCTTAGGTGATCATATATCTTTCAATGACTGGCGAAGAAGATTTTTTTCCCACAGTAGGTAGCCATTTCTTTCTGCAGTAGACAAGTTGATATCCAAGGCTACAGAAGACTATATGTCCTACCTATTTACTCATAGCTGGGGGGAGAAGAAGAGGATTCATACCTTTCCCAAGGGTATTAGCACGTAAGTGAATATAATAGATTTGACTGGAATTCAAACTCAGCTCTCTGATTCCTCAATCTGAGCTACTATCCATTACTCCACTGTGGATAGCAGTTCAGATCAGGTTCTATGGCCTTGGATGGCAACTGGTCTACTGCAGAAAGAAATGGCAACCTACTGCAGATACATGATTGCCTAAGTGTATATCATGCTTAGCATATAACTGACTGATAAAAAAAAGTCTACTCATAATACTTCTGGGCACCAATTATAAGATAAAAGGTTTTAAATTTACATTGTTTATTGAAAATCACACTAAAACTCTTGCACTGTATAACATATTACATCACAATATAGCTAAATTGTTCAGCATAATTTCCCTTTGAAGTAAATGAAGGTCTTATTTGATGGGAAAATTGTTTGTTAATAATGTGCTATAAATCTTGTCCCTATACAATTTGTAATGCTTCAGTAAATTATAAATGTTATAAGGCTGTGCTATAAAACTTTCACTGGAATGAAATTCCAATGCTACAATTTTGAACCTAAACTTAATCTTTAAACTTCTTTCCTCCAAAAGTGATAACAATTTGGAAAATATATTTTGTGTCATTATTTATCATATCAAACCTCAATTTTCAAATTGAGTGCAATACCACAGTTCCAAATTAGACCTGCCCTAATGAACAGTTTCTCATTGCAATATATTTCATGTCTTACTTTCATTTTCTTTTCATTATAGACGAATATTATCTTTGTTTAAAGATTAGAGTTTCTGCTCATTTTTCTTCGCTTACGTAGATTTCAAACGAGTTCCGCCCACTCCTTACTTATCTTAAAAATTCAACTGATACACAAATATATACAGTAAATAAAATTTCTTTCTTAAATATCTATTTAGATTTCTTTATTACACAAAATGTTTTTGAAATTCTCCATATATTATTATATCTGCATAAAGATGTGAGCTGGATTCAAATCTCAACATCGTCAATGAGGAAGATGAGTTCTTGATGTTATCAGCCTGAGGAGGTGATCCCAGCATGTGGGCATTTTGGAAAGTGCCTGAAAACTATGCCCAAGCTTTGTGGGCGAAATTCAATAGATGGAATAGTTTCATTGCTGGTTGTGCTAGCACAAAGTCGCAGGTCATCATGACCGAGGGTTTGAGCATACCAGACTTGTTCAAACTGTTGATTATGCCAGATGATGTCCTCTTTCCCAGAAATTGTAATTAAGATTCGCTCGGCATAGTTGCAATATAAATCACAGGTTCGGTCTATGAGCATTGAACAAACAGAAAATGTACTTGAGCAGGCATCTGCAACAGGGATTGGTCAGCAGATGGGTAAACTCAGATACAAGTGGCCAGCTATTATGTAGGTATAAAGTAGTATATAAGTACATGTATTATTAAATTAGAAGTAATATCGTTTAAATGAATCATTCTTGTCACAATGTTGTTGGCCTTTCATAAATATTGAACGTTATTACTCTTATTTAATAGTCTAATAATTCTAGTCTAATATTGAGCACTTTATAAGTAGAAATTCTGTTAAATTTGATATACATTAAATTATATAATTTTATGTATATCATTTGTTAGTATTAATAACAAGCATTTTTCCAATTAATTTTAATTACATGTATGTGAAAACATATTTCCAGAAATAATGTTTACAATTGAAAAATGTAAACATTTGTATTGCATTTATGTGTAATCATATATTACAAAAATGTATGTAAGAATTTTTTGTACTGTCACCCAATACAGGGCTCAAGATCCACTCAAGGTAGATTGCTATTGTTAAAATGGTTATAAGGAATGAAGTGTGTAATATCAAAGTGGAGTTAGTAAAACGTAAAGATAAGGAGGATAGATAACATTGGACCCTTGAGTTAAGATTTTAGTGATTGGGTGGGAGAACATCCATGCAGGAGCCTGTTTCACAAAGTAGCAATTTGTTTGGGTAAAATACTGATTTTGATATAGGATGGCATATCTTAGCTGTAAAGAGTCTGAACAGGTGGAATGAGAGAAATGGGTCTCATCTGAACATTTGCAATGGAAATAGCGATAGTGTAGTCATAGGCTTATATTGTTATGTCTTTTAGAACAAACCCGTAGAGAGGAGAATATGTCTCCCCCTAATTTTGAGACATTATTTTTAACTGGGCCTAAAACCATCAAAAGTGCTTGTCAGAAAATGAAACAATATCTGACTATTCTAACCAAAACTGGTTTAAGCATTTTAACGGTGGTGACTTATCCCTTGAAAGGAAGAGAAGAAAACATGACAAAAGAATGTATGATAACCAAAAACTCAATTATTTTTTCTTCTTTTAGAAAAGCTCGGATCTATGAGAAGATATCATCATATTTTGAGCAAAACTACTATTGTTACAATCCAATATAAAAAAAAAAATGCTTCACAAATTCATATAAATCACAGAAAACAAACCACCTTGTAGTATTATTAAGGTACTACTGGGTCGCCTTGAGTTAATGGTGATATTTCAACTCCTAAATCATGATCAAGACAACTTTAGATGTGGTAAAAAGTTCTTAGTTTGACTAAGAATCCCTTCTCAAATTCTAATCTTTGGACATTTTGATCAGATTTTGGCAAGTAAGTTGAGTCGAGGACTTTTTAGCAGCCTCTGTATGTGTGTATAGAGAAAAATAAAGTTTGATCAAATGACTAAACATCAGACATTATTTTGGGATCCTCTCTTGATACAGACATGAACATTTTAAGCCTCTCCTTGTCATTTAAATATAAATAGCCAAAATATAGGAAAAAGTCTGTTTAAAAGTGATAATGCCAGATTTATTAACTGCTAATTACAGAGTTGCTTCCCTTTTTTAATCAAAATAATAATGAAAGCTTTGGAAATAATTATATAAATTTTATGACTAGATAGTGATTTGACATTGAAAAAAAATTGTTTTGCTTTTAATATACCAGAAATTTCTATAATTAGGTTTAAGGCTTCTGAACAGTTTTTCTTACTGACCCTTTATTAACCTTGTGAAATTGGTTTGATACTAATTGTTCTTCTGTTGGAATTTTTTTTTATAACTTAGTTGTGAAAAGATGATCCCTTGGAATTTGCTGGGTGTGAAATAGGACAGAGTTTATTAATTCATATTTTAAATTTGTTTTTAATTGGATCTTTTCTATGTTGAGTTGCACCCATAACTTGTTGGATTGCAGTGGTAAGTCAGCATAATGACACAAAGTATATAGGAACAGAGAATGGAATGAGAGGTTTACAACATAACAAGTTTATTCACCAACTGATTATACAGCAGAAAAATAAAGGAAGTATTAAATTATCCCTTTATTTTTAAGAGTTTATTAAAAAGGTAGATAACTCTGTCTACAGTAACATAAATATTTAGTTTAAATTTGCAAGATGTTAAATACCTTCAAAATTGGCTTCATTTGTTCTTTTTCTTCAAGTATCTAACATGGAATGTTACAATTAAGCAAACAAAATTTAGATTTTTGCTTGAATAATATTTTTTATTTAATTAATAATTTTTTATATTTGATTAATGTTCAGTTGAGATTTTATAGAAATAAGCCTCAAAAGATGAGATAATGATTCTTAAATCAAAGATTTAATCCAATTTTCTTAATAATTTGATAAGAAATGCCACAAACTTTAAGACAAGTATAAAAATTTAAAAAATTGATTTTGTTATGCAAGAAGGAAAAAAATTAAATACATTTTAATTTACTATTGCAATACAAATCACTTTTTTGTATCTCTGAAAAATGTTTCCAATCGAATTGTCTCAATGTGTGTGTGTGTGTGTGTGAATACATGTGTGTATACATACATATATATGCTAA